GTCACAATAACGTGGCTGAAAAATGTTGAAAAGTGAAGAGATGACAACGTTTCTGTCTGTCCTGGACCATTTTCAAGTCGACTGTGATAATGGTCCAGGATGGACCGAAACGTCGTCGTCTCCTCGTCTTCTGTTGTGTGGTTTGGTCAACAGATAGGTACAGTATTAATATTATCACAATTTGCCTAACATGAGTTATGATTACCACCAGTGTTCAATTTTAATGCAAGGAGCAGACAAGAAAATTTTAAAAACTATTTTATGTAATTTCTGCCACAAGATGAAACAAATGAACTCATGTTTAGTACAAACATGAGTTCATATAAACATCTGCATATTCAATTTAATTTGAATATGCAGATGTTTAATATCTGCATATTCAAATTAAACACAAAACCTTTACAAATTGAATAAGCTGTATCCCACATGAAAAATTTGTATTACTGCAGCCTAAAATACTTAAAACAACACACAATAAGTGTAAAAATATTATTTAATAAATTTACTGCTAAAACACTACATATTTTATGTAAATTTACATAAAACATAGTTCAAAAAATTCTTATGAAGTCACCATGCATTTTGTATACTGTACTAGCATTTTTAATGCTGCAACCCGTCAGTGAGCTCCTGACCATCAATGTTTCCCACATCTCATGGTCCTAATCAGTAACTTTTAAACTGTTTATACTCTCAATTTTATCTCAGTTTTAGTGTTACTGAATTACTATAAATTTGGTGTCAAAATGTTAGAAAATAAATTTGCTAGAGCACAGATGCAAAATAAAATCTGATTTGATAATAGAATTTGCATGATGGTGCTGAACATACAAATTTTTATGAACATTTCAACATTCTTCATATATTTCACATTTCTCAACTCAAAATTCTTATTAGCTATTATCATCTTGAGACAGATAGTTGGCTGAAATGATATCTGGAAGGTCCACTGATACTGTACTTTGGTATGTTCCCTGATAACATATTGATATACTGACATACAGTAATAACATACTGATAACATAACATATAACACTGTGCTCCAAAAAACCAGCGTTGAATGTAATGAAATGCCATTTTCTGGGTGAGTCCCGGAGGCTTCCCGGAGCTATCCAGGCTGAATGGACATGTATATCTTTCTGGCATCAGTCAATGCATGGAGTTCTTGCCTAACGGGGACCACGAGCCAGAACCTGGCCTCCTCTAGAGAGGCACGAGGAGCAATGGCCTATCCACCCCCCCCCCCCTCCCTGTGGTTAGGAGCATTCTATGTCTGCCATCGACTGGGACAGGCACCCAGAAAGGTAGGCACCCCAAAGCAAACCCTTATTCTGGTAAAAGTATTGCAACCAAAAGCCGAACAGGTGGACAGAACTCCCCAAACAAAAATTAGCAAACTAGCATGACGTCATCATGTCGCCGTGCCGCTGTCTGCACAATCCCTCCCCTCCCTGGGAGGGGAAAGGGGGAGCCCCAGACCCACCCGCTGGCGACCCAACCTACAGTTCTTAGGCTGGATGTCCAAAAACACAAAAAATACCGCCGAACGGAGGAAGGGAGGGATGCCGGGGAGCCTCCGGGACTCACCCAGAATATGGCGTTTCATTACATTCAACGCTGGTTTTCTGGGGGGAGTCCCATTGGCTCCCTAGAGCTAACTACCCAAAGATAAGGAAAAACAGAGACTTACCCGGGAGGCAGTTCGTCCTCACTCCTCAACACGAAGTCAAGACAACTGGCTGCAACCGCCGACCCAAGGCAACGCAGGCCCTACCTGGTCCTGGAACATTCACCAGGTAGCGAGCAACCAGGACCCTGTTCGTCTTCCAAAAACCCTGCGCCCGAATGTCAACCCAAGACATGTTGCCAAAGACGGCAGCCAGAGCAGCAAACTTACGCTGTTGTGGGCTCGGGAATAAACCGCAGGCTGGCTAGACTTAATAACCCTGCGGAGAACCTGAGAGACCCGAGCCCGAGAACAGGGAAGAAGGGAAACCGGGTCAACCCAAAACACATCCCCGGCTACCGAAGCCGTGGCGCGCAAATAACGGCGGAGAGCAGCAACCGGACACAACACATGATGCACCCCCGGCATGACCAGCCAAGCATCAACAACCCAAGGCCCCCTCCGAAATGCAGCCATTTCATTCTTCACCAGAAAAGAAGGAGACGGCTGCAACCGAACAAAACGACCACCAGGACCGAAGGAGCAGAAACCCCTGCGCCGGAGGAGAGCATGAAGCTCCCCGACCTGACCTACAGAGGCCAATGCCAACAGGAAAAAGAGCTTTAGAAAAACAATCCCAAACAGAAGGGGCCACAACAAACCGAGGAGAAGAGAGAAACGAGAGCACCCAGTCCAAAGACCAGGACGGCTCAGGAGGCGCATAAGCAGGCTGGAAGTGAAACAACGCCCGAGACAGCTTGTGGAACAGGAAAGAAGTAACATCAACAACAAAAGCAAGCAGAAGCGGCTCCGCCAGCGCCGCACAATACGAGGCGACAGTATTCGGCATAAGATGACGGTCCTGGAACAACCAAGAGAGAAAGGACAGAACAACCCTATCAGAGACTGAAGAATACCTATGCAGTGATAGGAAGAACCAGAAGGACCGCCAGGAAACTTCATACTGTCACCAAGACGAAGCACACAGGTGGGAAACCAACTTGGGGTGCCTACCTTTCTGGGTGCCTGTCCCAGTCGATGGCAGACATAGAATGCTCCCTACCACAAGGGGGTCGTTATAGGCCATTGCTCCTCGTGTCTCTCTAGAGGACGCCAGGTTCTGGCTCGTGGTCCCCAGTAGGCAAGAACTCCATGCATTGACCGATTCCAGAAAGATATACATATCCATTCAGCCTGGATAGCTCCAGGGAGCCGATGGGGCTCCCCAGAAAAAAGATAACAATATTATATATATATATATATATATATATATATATATATATATATATATATATATATATATATATATATATATATATATATATATATATATATATATATGTCGTACCTAGTAGCCAGAACTCACTTCTCAGCCTACTATGCAAGGCCCGATTTGCCTAATAAGCCAAGTTTTCCTGAAATAATATATTTTCTCTATTTTTTTTCTTATGAAATGATAAAGCTAGCCATTTCATTATGTATGAGGTCAATTTTTTTTTATTGGTGTTAAAATTAACGTAGATATATGACCGAACCTAATCAACCCTACCTAACCTAACCTATCTTTATAGGTTAGGTTAGGTTAGGTAGCTGAAAAAGGTAAGTTAGGTTAGGTAGGTTAGGTAGTCGAAAAACAATTAATTCAGGAAAACTTGGCTTATTAGGCAAATCGGGCCTTGCATAGTAGGCTGAGAAGTGAGTTCTGGCTACTAGGTACGACATATATATATATATATATGTCGTACCTAGTAGCCAGAACGCACTTCTCAGCCTACTATGCAAGGCCCGATTTGCTTAATAAGCCAAGTATTCATGAAATAATGTTTTTTCGACTACCTAACCTACCTAACCTAACCTAACCTAACTTTTTCGGCTACCTAACCTAACCTAACCTATAAAGATAGGTTAGGTTAGGTTAGGTAGGGTTGGTTAGGTTCGGTCATATATCTAAGTTAATTTTACCTCCAATAAAAAAAAATTGACCTCATACATAATGAAATGAGTAGCTTTATCATTTCATAAGAAAAAAATTAGAGAAAATATATTAATTCAGGAAAACTTGGCTTATTAGGCAAAACGGGCCTTGCATAGTAGGCTGAGAAGTGCATTCTGGCTACTAGGTACGACATATATATATATATATATATATATATATATATATATATATATATATATATATATATATATATATATATATATATATACCTAGTAGCCAGAATGCACTTCTCAGCTTACTATGCAAGGCCCGATTTGCCTAATAAGCCGAGTTTTCATGAATTAATTGTTTTTCGACTACCTAACCTACCTAACCTAACCTAACTTTTCCGGCTACCTAACCTAACATAACCTATAAAGATATGTTAGGTTAGGTAGGGTTGGTTAGGTTCGGTCATATACTGTATCTACGTTAATTTTAACTCCCAATAAAAAAAAATGACCTCATACATAATGAAATGGGCAGCTTTATCATTTCATAAGAAAAAAATTTGAGAAAATATATTAATTCAGGAAAACTTGGCTTATTAGGCAAATCGGGACTTGCATAGCAGGCCGAGTACGACGTTCTGGCTACTAGGTACAACATACATATATATATATATATATATGTCGTACCTAGTAGCCAGAACTCACTTCTCGGCCTAATATGCAAGGCCCGATTTGCCTAATAAGCCAAGTTTTCCTGAATTAATATATTTTCTCTAATTTTTTTCTTATGAAATGATAAAGCTACCCATTTCATTATGTATGAGGTCAATTTTTTTTTATTTGAGTTAAAATTAACGTAGATATATGACCGAACCTAACCAACCCTACCTAACCTAACCTAACCTATCTTTATAGGTTAGGTTAGGTTAGGTAGCCGAAAAAGTTAGGTTAGGTTAGGTTAGGTAGGTTAGGTAGTCGAAAAACAATTAATTCATGAAAACCTGGCTTATTAGGCAAATCAGGCCTTGCATAGTAGGCTGAGAAGTGCGTTCTGGCTACTAGGTACGACATATATATATATATATATATATATATATATATATATATATATATATATATATATATATATATATATATATATATATATATATATTTTATTTTCGGGAATTTTAAGATGGAAGATGTTTTAGTGTCATCGGAATGGAATGCTAAAGTGTGAAGTAAAACTTGACACATTTACAACAGCTGTACATTTACAGGTACAGTATGTACAGTACAAAAGGAGAAAACCTAGGAGAAAATTAACACACACACAAAAAATGGCAAAATCTGTACACATAATGCAAAATACCTGTATAGTGCTTACATTTGGTATTTACTTAAATATTCCTCACATCTCCCCACCTACCTCGTTGAGACTGCAGAAGACTGATCAGTATCTGAAGATGATGATGAGTCAGATGATGACGATGATGATGAAGAGGATGATGAGGTTGATGATGATGATGAGGAGCCACTTGTTGAACTAGCCGATTCTGAACTTGTACTGCGAATCTTGAGAAAAAAAATAATTATTTTATTTTGCATCAGGAAACATGCACAATAAATTATGAGTTACCTTCTAACCAAGAAAATACTGATCTTCACATAATAGCTATTCCGTCAAATAATAGAATATCTTTAGCCAATTAAGTATATTATAATGTACAGTACAGTACGTACTTTAAACTTGTGATACTGTACTTCATATAATATAATAAATTAGTGTTGAATGTAAGGAAATGCCTCTTTCCCATTTAACCCTGAAGCTCGCTGAAGTTGGGAGCCATTGAGGTGATTCCCAACAACTAGATCATATCAGCCTACTGGGGTTCTGTAATCAAATCAGTTCTGTTTGGCCTACTGGGGACCAGCACCAGAACTTGACCCCACCTCACAAAAGGCCCAGGGAGCAGGTGACACTCAGCCATCTCACCAGAGAAGGCAACAAGGAAATCAGGGAACCAATACAGATCACTGTTGGGTTCAAAGAGACTGAAACCTCACAACTCGCCAAACAAACTTCCCCAACAATGTAAACAAGCAGTTGAATCTCTCGAAACAAGCTTGTGCTCGTTCGCCCCACCCCTCCCACACATTGAGGGGAAAGGGGGGGGGGACCAGGGCTCTCGCTGTCCAGAGGCCAATGCCATCAGTTCTGAAGCAGATGCGAACACGTAAAAAAAAAGATGACCTGGAAGGGAAGGTATGAAGGTTAGGGAGCTACCAGGGTTCACCCAGGAAAGACATTTCATTATATTCAATGTTGGTTTTCTGAGGGGTGGCTCCCTGAAGCTAACTACCCACAGAGAAGAAAAATGGACTTGCCACTTGAGGATGAGAAATCGTAGGCAATCACATTGAAGGAGAGACTTGAGGTCGAGAAACACAACATGATGCAACACAGGCTCAACTAAGTACCTGGCCACCGAACCCTGTTAGACTGCCAAAACCTTCGCACCCCATTATCAGCCCAGAACATATTAGCAACAACAGCCTCAAGAGCGGCATGTTTACGAACATCATAGACATGAAGGTAGACTGCAAACTAGCTAGACTTTAAGACATTGGACAACCTGAAAGACATAAGCCTTATAACAGGGAACTAAGGAAACAGGATCAACCCACAAAGTATTCACTGCAGCAGAATCGGTGGCATGAAGGTAGCTACAGAGAGCCACTACCAGGCACTCCACATGATGCACCTCTGGCCTAACCAACCAAGCATCCAACACCAAAGGACCCCATTGAAAACCTGCCAACTCATTCTTCGCCGGAAAACAAGGACACAGCTGCAAATTTAACACCCACCAGGGCCAAACAAATAAAAACCATGCCTCTGGAGTAGAGCATGAAGCTTTCCAACCCTACAACCAGAGTTAGGTGCCAACAGGGAAAGAACTTTAGAATAAGAATCAAAGACCGAAGAGGACACAGTAAACTGAGAAGAAAGAAAACCGAAAATGAGTACTAAGGACATATCAGGCCCAAGTGGTGAATGAATAGGTCTGAGGTGAAAATGAGTGAGACGCCTTACAAAATGGCACCAAGAAGGTATTGATGCCAAGCAACAAGCAACAGCAGCTCCTCCACTGCCCCTTCAAAGGGGCGAACCGTAAAAAGGCTAGTGTGAATTACAACAAGCAGGAGCTCTCTGATAAGCATGAACACAATGCCAATCAGCAGAAGACAAACTGGTCCCTGGAGGCACATTTGACCTGTAATCTGGCTCCACCTAGAGCCTATCTCAACCAATAGCCTGCAGAACACCAGCCCTACTGACTGCCTCCAGGAACGAGAACAAAAATCACGGGAACAAAGAAGTACAATGTCGGCCAACAAGATGCGGCCACAGAGGACAAAAACTGACCTACATCATCTTCTGGAAAGAGACAAAAAGGGAAAGGTGGACAAAAGGGCTGGGGCCCAAGCCAAATCCAAAGACTGGGCCAACTCAGCCTGTTGACATGAGAGGCCAGCAGTGTAGAACGTGGCCAGTGCCTCCTGGAGCATGGATGCTTACAGCTTGGGAAAGCCTCCAATGATGCCAAAGCCTCCGCACCAGGGCCCAGAGCTGAATACCTCAATGTTCTTGTGGAGCCACTCAGGGAAGTTCCATGAAGACCAGAAACTGCACAACCAAAGCCTAATGTGAGTAAGCCTGAAAGTTCTCTGTCACGAGGGTTACCGACAGCAAAGGCATTTGAGCATGAAGCTGCACCAAGCCCACATCCAAGAAAAGAGTGGGAGTGCAAACAGGCAGTCATTGAGTGGCACAAAAGAAGGGCTGCCCAAAACATCTGAAACACGGTCACCATATCATGCCATTCGAGTGTTTGGGAACAACAAAAGCCTCGCCAAGCCCCAAAGGAAAAGAAAAGGATTGTCCACTAGCCAGGACACACCCAAAATAACACATCCAATATGGGAGAAGAAGACCCAAACTCAAAAGAGGCAGGGTCCATCATAAAGGCCAACCAAGAGTCATGCAGGAAATATTTATAGAGATCTTCACAAGCTACTGACAAAATGCAGCTGCCCTAGGGTTCATATCAATGTGCAGTTAGGCCCATCAGTCCCTTCCTCTCAAGTCCCTTCCTCTCTGTTGAAGCTTGTGACACCCTCTTCTTTTCCTTCGGGGTTTGGCAAGGCTTTTGTTGTTCAAACAAGGGAATAAATTCATACAAATTCATACAAGGAAGAGGATAAATTCAGACAAATTAAATACAAGGAAGAGGATAAAGTTGGAAAGCATATGCTATGCTTTCCAACTTTAGAAACACTTAAATACTGTACATGGATAGTGAAATATTAAAAGAAAATGTTCACAACCTTTGTGAGACCAAAATTGGAATATGCAGTAGTTGAATGGTGCCCATATCTCAAAAAGCACATCAATAAACTAGATACTAAATCTTTGCACCTAGAAAAGTGCAAAGATTTTGTTGCAAAAATATGCAACTAAACAGTTTCCAGAACTGAAAAACAAGAGATACAAGGAGAAATAACAGGTTTAAAAATAACAAAAGCTAGAAGATAGAAGAAAAGAGGTGAAAGATCCACTACATACAAAATAGTAACATGAATTTACAGAAGTAACAAAGAAGTGCTAAAAATTGCAACCTCTTGAGCAAGAGGACATAGGTTCAAACTAAGGAAACAAAGTTACCGAAAAAACATTAGAAAGTTCACTTTGCAAATGAATGACAGACTGTTGGAATGAGTTAAATGAGGTGGTGGTGGTGGAGGCCGAAACCATCAATAGTTCCAAAGCATCATATGACAAGAGTACTGGGAAGATAGGACACCAAGAGTGTAACTCTCATCCTGTAACTACACTTGGATAATAACTTTGGTAATTACTAGTTTCTATGATAGAGCTACAGAGATTTTACAGGAATAAGATGTTGACTGCATATATTTAAACCCTTTCGACAGAGTCCCACATAAGAAGTTGTTCTGAAAACTGGAACATACTGGTGGAGTGACAGGGAGACTTCTGACATGGATAACAAATTTGCTGACAGAAAAATGTGGGTGATATTCATAGGCAATGTATCAGACTGGAGAAATGGTAGTATTGGAGTACCACAGGGTGTTCTAGTACCAATAATGTTCATTATCTATATAAACAATCTACCAGGAAGGAATCCAATATTATAACATTTTTGCTGATGATGCCAAGCTACTAGGGAAAATAAGAAACCTATATAGATGATTGTCATGCCCTTCAAGAAGACCTGGACAAAATAAATAATTGAAGCAACACCTGGTAAATAAATTTTGGGGGGAATAAATGCCACATTATCGAATGTGGAATAGGAGATAACATGCCACACACAACCTATAAATAAAGTCAAAAAGCTTTAAAGAATTCTGATAGAGATCTAGGCGTGGTACTGGGTAGAAAATTGTCACCTGTGGAGCACATAAAGATCATTGTGCAAGAAGTGTATGCTATGCTTTCCAACTTCAGGATCACTATTAAATACCCCTCACAGTGTTCAAGAAAGAATTCGATACACACCTCCAAGGGTTGCCTGATCAACCCGGCTGTGATTCATACATCAGGATGCAAGCAGCAGTGCCCAACAACCTGGTGGATCAGACCAACCAGGAGGTCTGGTAATTCAGACCAATTTTGAGGCCTGGTGGATCAAAGCAACCAGGAGGCCTGGTCAGTGACCCAGTTGAGGGGACCTTGACCCCTCGGAATCAATACAATGTAACCGCAAGGTAATATAGATGGCGAAATATTAAAGTTCTTCTCGACCTTTGTAAGGCCCCAGTTATAATTTGCAGTGATTGTTTTGTGCCCATATCTCAAGAAGCATATTAGTAAACTAGAAAAATATAGAATATATGTTATAAAAATAAATAAGTGCAACCAAGTGGCTCCTGGAACTGTAAAACAAAAGTTACAAGGAGAGGCTAGAGGTTTTAAATATACCAAAACTAGAAGATAGAAGGAAAAAAAAAAAGAGGCAATATGATCATTACCATACAAATTAGCAACATAAATCGACAAAATCGACAAAGAATAATTCTTGAAAACTGCAACTTTAAGAACAAGAGGGCATAGATTTAAATTAAAGAAACAAAGCTGGCAAAAAAAAAAAAAAAATTGAAAGTTTACTTTTGCAGAGTTGTAAACATCTGAAACAAGTTAAGTGAGAAGGTGGTGGAGGCCAAAACTATCAGTACAGTAATTTCAAAGCTTCATACAGTGGTACCTCCATTTTCAAATTTAACTCATTCACAGACACAGTTCAAAAACAGACAATTTGAAAACCAAAACAAATTTTCCCATAAGAAATAATGTAAATTAATCAGTTCCACCCCCCAAAAATATTAACTTAAAAATACATTTTATACATACTACTACATATATTTTGTACTACAGTATGTTCAGGTACAGTCGAACCTCGACTTACGAATGCCCCTACTTACGAATTTTTCAAGTTACGACCCTAATTTCATTGAAAAATTCGACTCTACTTACAACCTTTGCCTCGACTTGCGACTTTGTTGATACACATATGGGTCAACTGAGCATGTGGTTCCTAGTGGCACAGGCAACGCCGCCTCAGTTTACCAGAGCTCCCCACTTAGTGATGATCGTGCTTGAATTCTTTTTAAAGAATTTAATTGTTTTTGTGCTTTTTTTGTTTTTGAACATAAAAGTAATTACCTGTATTATATATCACGCCATGGGTCCCAAGAAAGTCAACGGTAAGGTTCAACCTAAGAAATTAGTTTTGAGAAGAGGCAGTTGAGAATGTACCTTCCTCATTAAGAAAATGTGTGAAGTATGGGAAGAACTGCAAAATTTTGTTGAAAAACTCGCCTAAAGCTATAGCAGGCCGTTGCATTGACCTTTTAAATGACAATGTGATGTCTCACTTCACCAGTGTTAAAATGTAGGGAAAAACAAGTGTCTTTAGACAGATTCTTAGTAAGACAGCAAGCAGTGAGCCACAACCAAAGTAGTATGCCTGCAAAACGTAGGAGAGAGAGTACCCCAGAGAAGTCATCACTGCTTGATGTTACAATGGAAGGGGACTCGCCTTCCAAACAGTAACACCTTTCCTCCTCCCCATCTTTCATACGCCAACAAGAGTCATCAATAATGGTAAACTGTAACTTGTACATACTATAGTACAAAATATGTGTGTGTATTATGTATGAAATGTATTTTAAAGTTAACATTTTTGGGAGTGTGGAACAGATTAATTCAATTTACATTATTTCTTATGGGAAAATTCATTTCGAGTTACGAATTTTCGAGTAACAACTGGTCTCTGGGAAAGGATTAAATTCGTAAAAGGAGGTACAGTACCACTGTGTTGGTACTTTTCCCAACACAACTGTGTTGGGAAAAACTGACATCCTTTAATAATCTTTAATAATCTTACCTTTATTGAGAACTTTTGTTGGCATATGGAAGATAGTGAGGAAGAGGAAAAGAGCAGAGGTGTTAGTATTTAGGAGGTTTGCACAGAGGCAAACCTCAAGTACCGAGTCGAATTTTTCAAAGAAAATGAGCTCGAAAAACAAAAAAAAATTTGAAAACGGGAATTCGAAAACCGAGGTTCCACTGTATTACAAAGAATACTGGGAAGACAGGACATCACAAGCATAACTCTCATCCTGTATCTACACTTGGGTAATTGCACTTAGGAAATTACCTCAAACAAAGCTGTATCCTTAACAGAATATAAAAATCCTTACCTAAGCCATTAACATGCAACTACTGAAAAATAGTCATGTCTACCTATGTGCAAAAAACAAAACAATTCCCAAAAATTATTTTTCATTAAAGAATTATTAATTTGTATGAAAATATTGAAAAACAAAAATATATTAATATATGTACCTTTTTAATAGGTGGAAGAGTAAAGGTTGCGCAATGGCCATGTTATCTGGCATCTGTCAACACACAATGTCGACTTTGCTGACACTGAAGTATGTGATACATGACTCCTATGTTCTCATTGTATGTTTCATTGTTTATAATAATAATAATACTAATTCATTGTGTCAAAGGACAGACAGGTAGCCATAGCTTATTTATACACACTAGGCTTATATCGACGTCCCCCCCCCCCCACAAGGTCGAATTACTGACCATAAGGATGCAACATCACAAGCTAACTTCTGCTAAGTGAACAGGATAGTAGGTGATAGGAAATGCACCCAACCATTTCTGTCCTGCCCGGGATTCGAGCCTGGAATTCTTAATTGTGAGTCAAGAATGAACCCAACTGTACTACCCAGATCCTAACTTGCTTCTATTTATTAACAAGAGTACAAGTAGATCATGAGTCACAATAACGTGGCTTGAAGATATGAGAACTAAACCACAACCAGAAGATGAGACGACGACATTTTGGTCCATCCTGGACCATTATCATGTTAATTATCCCAATCGACTTGATAATGGTCCAGGACAGACCTAAACGTTGTCATCTCCCCAACTTCTGGTGTGTGGTTTAGTTCTCAAGAGTATAAGTGTTGAATAATTCACATTATATACAAAAACTCTGATTGGTATTATACCTGAATGAGGGTGTAAACATGGGTGAAAGTGTAGACCATTGGTGAGGGTCTAAATCATTGGTTAGGGCGTATCTCAGGGGTGTGCACCACAGGTGCGTGAGTAGACCATGGGTGAGTCTAGACCACGGGTGAAGGAGAAGATTATGGGTAAGGGTGTATAGCATGGTAGAGAGCATAGATCATGAGGGAAACTGTGTTGGGAAAAAACGACATCCTTTAATAATCTTTAATATAAAATGCAGCTAATAATGCTGTTGTTCTTGTATTAATAAAGTAACCCATACTACCACATTACTTTATTTATCCATGACAATAATATTAGGCTTGTGGCATTTTCCCAGAGAAAATAATGAGAAATGATTGCCACGTCACCAGAAAATACACCATAAAATATCAGTAATCACTTAAAACACCAGTCTAGCATTAGAATCAATAAAATCTCTATGATTATCAAATAAAATACTAAATAAAATCAACACCTCCCTACCTTTATTCATAAATGAACCGAAAATTTGACCAGTTTCAAGTGACATCACTAGACCGGTGGAGAAGGGAGATGCCATCCTGAATTTATATCCTCTCCTGTGAGGATGCACAATAAGCAGTACCGCCTATATTCGTGAACCTGTGACATTTTGACGCAATTCTATTGCTGCATCCTCATCATTATAGGAGTAACTTGTTTCCAGTTTCCTAAATAATTCATTTGTTATTACTGGGTCTTTTAACACAAGTAGAACAAACCGGTTAAGAGGCGTACGAACACCCAAATCACGATAAGCCTCTCATAATCATTTAACAATAATTTGTGTCCCATAATATCTGTCATTAGGATGTTATTTGCATTAGTTGCAATGTATATTTCTGGCAGATCTTCTGTGGCAACCTGAAGACATTAGCAGCAACTACTTGGTGCGACACGAGATGCGCATGGATGCCATAAGCACGTGACGACAACTCTGGCTAGCCACCCAAGAGTTCTATGCCAATAACTGAATGTGAAGCCTACTAGTTAGATAAGGCTTTTAATTATTCACATTAACCCAAGTAGTATTAATCCTTTAGTATCCAAATTCCCTTTCAATTGATAATTACAATTGATAGGCTACAATTAATATTTCATTGGTACACTTCATTACAAATATATGGAGTTGTAAAAACCATATGAACATCATTGGTATGAATGTCATGTAATTATGACAAGTTTGCACAATGACCATGACCACATTTGCCTAGTAACATTTATGATAACTACACATAACCACAAAACAATAGCAGGATTTTTTCCATGGGTCAAGGTAAACTCCAGTACATGCACATAGTTATTAGAGGATCCCTGTAGTGCAGTCGGGTTCGTCCTCAATACACAATTGAGAATTTCGGGTTCGAATCCCAGCCATGACAGAAATGGTTGGGCACATTTCCTTTCACCTAATTTTTTTTTTTTTATTTTTTTTTTTTTTTTTGAGATATATACAAGTTGTTACATTCTTGTACAGCCACTAGCAAGCGTAGCGTTTCGGGCAGGTCCCTGGAATACGATCCCCGCCGCGAAGAATCGTTATTACAACCAAGTACACATTTTACTATTGCGTTAAACAGAGGCTACAGTTAAGGATTTGTGCCCAGTAAATCCTCCCCGGCCAGGATACGAACCCATTACAAAGCGCTCGCGGAACGCCAGGCGAGTGTCTTACCACTACACCACGGAGACTGTGAATGCTTCTGTTCATCTTGCAGCAAGTAGGTACTCAGGAGATAGTCAGCTTGTTGTGGGGTTGCATCCTGAAAGGGTCAGTAATTCGACCCTGGGGGAGAGGGCCCCTCGATAAAAGCCTAACGTGTATGAATACGCTCTGGCTTCCAGAGTAAATTAGAATACACTAATTCACACACTGAATTATATTAATTATATTATATTCTTATTTGCACATGTTTAAACCCCAGAGAATAAGTCTAAATCATCATATGATGATAATCGCATTAACCCGTGATTCATCATACGATAACCGCTCTTTAAAGGCTAATGTATATTTGAGGCAATGTCTAATCACCACTCCCACCAGCTACTATAATCAAATTAAGTAAGGGAATTTTAAGAAACTTAAGCTACAAAAACTCCCAACATTAAAAATGACACCTACTAATACCCACAGTTTACACAAAGAGAGTTGTATCCTTACTTACAGATATTGAAATAAACATGAAAAGCGAGGAACAAACTTGAATTTCAAAAACAATAATTTAAGGCGCACCAGTGCTATCAGACTTAGACTTTACCAATAGCATGTGGTCTTACCTTCTTCCTAGCCATGTTCGTCAAGAGTAAAACTTAAAATAAAATGTGCTGGGAGAAGTTTTTCATTTAGGATACATATTTCATGTGTTGTGTGGGTCGGTTGGTGCCGGATAACGACACGTCGCTTCCTCTCTCACTCTCTTTAATTTGTAAGCAAATTATAATAATTCACTTTGTAATTACATAAATTTCCAATATATAAATACAAAAAATATATTTAAAATGATTTAAGTACACTTATCTATAGTTTTTAAATTCTGATAACCGTGCGTTACCAAGAAAATATGGATTGAACCAATATCTCTGAACATTTTTGTAAACAATAAGAGGATTCCAATAAGAATACATGTAAAGTGTTTTAAAACGAGCTTCATATAAATGATGCCTGAATTTAAAATATAGAGATATCACTTGAAAAATATAATAATTATAATTTATCAATTTACATGCACTACCTATAAGCTTATATAAGCCGAGACAACTGAACAAATTTGAATTTTCGAATCCGTGAGCGTTGTACTGAGGGTAATTACCCGTCCTCCCTTGTCCTGCTATTGTCAGCCATAACTACTATGACTCTGGTCATTATAGCAGCTACTATGCTCACCGACTTCCTCATCGTGGAATTTTCCAGTATAATTTTAAATTAAAAAAAAGAGGCAATAGAAGCATGTGTTGGCATTTGAATTCGTTCATTTGAATACCAGTCTCCGTGGTGTAGTGGTAAGACACTCGCCTGGCGTTCCGCGAGCGCTTTGTCATGGGTTCGTATCCTGGCCGGGGAGGATTTACTGGGCGCAAATCCTTAACTGTATCCTCTGTTTAACTCAACAGTAAAATGTGTACTTGGTTGTAACAACGATTCTTCGCGGCGGGGATCGTATTCCAGGGACCTGCCCGAAACGCTACGGGTACTAGTGGCTGTACAAGAATAAGAACATAAGAACAGAAGGTAACCGCAGAAGGCCTATTGGCCCATACGAGGCAGCTCCTATCTATAACCACCCAATCCCACTCATATACATGTGCAACCCACGCTTGAAACAATCGAGGGACCCCAGTCGAGGGACGCGGTAATTGATACCTGGTTGATGGGGTTCTGGGAGTACTACTCCCCAAGCCCGGCCCGAGGCCAGGCTTGACTTGTCAGAGTTTGGTCCACTAGGCTGTTGCTTGGAGCGGCCCGCAGGCCCACATACCCACCACAGCCCGGTTGGTCCACTCCTTGGAGAATAAATCTAGTTTCCTCTTGAAAATGTCTAGTTTCCATCTTGAAAATTGGTTCCACAAATCAACAACCCTGTTACCGAACCAGTATTTACTCAAGTCTTTCCTAAATCTAAACTTATCCAATTTATACCCATTGTTTCGTGTTCTGCCTTGTGTTGATACTTTTAATACCCTATTAATATCCCCTTTGTTATGTCCATTCATCCACTTGCAAACCTCTATCATGTCACCCCTAATTCTTCGCCTTTCCGGTGAATACAAGTTAAGCTTTGTTAATCTTTCTTCATATGAAAGATTTCTAATTTGGGGAATTAACTTAGTCATCCTACGCTGGACACGTTCAAGTGAATTTATATCCATTCTATAGTATGGCGACCAAAACTGAACTGCATAATCTAAATGGGGCCTAACCAGAGCAAGATATAGCTGAAGAACCACACCAGGTGTCTTGTTACTAACGCTTCGATTAATAAATCCCAGTGTCCTATTTGCCTTATTACGAACATTCATGCATTGATCCTTTTGTTTTAAAATTCTTACTAATCATAACTAAGTTGCTAAAAGAATGTAACAACTCTTGTATATATCTAAAAAAAAAAAATTGGGAAGAGTTCCTACAAAGTATAAATGAGCAAACAACACTTGTTGAAGTTTGGGAAAAGATACGAAAAGTCTCTAGAAGCAACCCAACCAAACCACTGCACCACAGCCCACTAGAACAAGCAAACATTCTCCTTGATCAATGGGCAATAACATCGAGCTACGACTCACTCCCAATTAACAAACAGCACAAACTTAATGACACACGCCCCAACAGACAACGAACCATCAATCTTGCCTGTACAGCTATCGACGTGTCGGACCTTAATGATGTAACTGAATGGGAATTAAATCATGCACTAAAGATGGGCAAATCAACTGCTCCTGGAGAGGACGGTATTACTTACAGTCTACTGAAATTAATTTCATACGTACCAGGTAATCCATTATTAGTGTTGTACAGAATGAGTTTACGTGAAGGAGTATTACCTGATGCTTGGACAAAGAGTGTCATTGTTCCCATCCCCAAACCACACTCAGATAATTATAGACCCATATCTCTAACATCGTGTTTGCAAAGTGCTTGAACGTATTGTTCTTAACCGACTCATGTATCGTATACAGGGGCACTTGTCACCCCAACTGTTTGGATTTATGCCTGGGCTCAGTACACAACACTGTTTTGCTGAGTAGTTCGCACATATTGAAGCTTCCCCTCAAACAGTCGTCATCGACCTAGCAGCAGCTTTTGATACAGCAAACAGAGAAATCATACTGGAACAGCTTGCCGAGCTGGGAATACAAAGAAAATTACTGAAATGGATAAAGGGCTATTTGTCTAATCGAACAGCATATGTTTAATGGTGTTAAAAGCACAGAGAGCAAACACTTTTAACTGGGAACTCCACAAGGAGGGGTCTTCAGTCCCTTGTTGTTCAACGTTCTGATGCATAAACTTATTAAAGTTATGCATCAATCTGACGCGTCTTCCAACTAATAATGAAGACTGTCATTTGTTATGCTGATGATATATGTTTACAGGCTGCCTCCGAGACTAGAATGCAAGTTCTGCTCGATGCTTTTGCTACTAGAGCTGAGGAATGTGGCCTCCTTATCTCTGTACATAAAATTCGTGCCCTCATTCCATGTGGTATTCCACCACCCAATTATCATATAGATGGGCGAGCACTTGAGAACTGCGAGTCTTACAGATACCTTGGTGTCCCCATTAACGACCCTGGGTACCTTTCTTCTCTCAAGAGGAGACTGTGGGAGATATTAAAGCCCTTGCGGGTCCTTGTTGGTGTCAATCATGGAATCAACGTGAAACTTGCTAGAATGTTTTATGTATCATTTATACGCTCTGTGATTGACTACAATGCTCTACATCTCATACTGTATACAGACAAAGAGCTGAAATATCTTGAAACCTTGTAAAATGAAGCTATGCGTCTCATCCTTGGGTTCCAAAGTCCACGAGAATAGTTATGTTGAGAGCAGAGTTAAAATTACCTAACATAAGTGAGAGAATTTTGTCTATTAGCACAGTTTTCGGCGTGAAGGCATTGAGTAGCTCTAGACAACACATGAAGTTTCAAGCTAAACTTTCTAATATGCTGCACTCACCTGAGGTCTATAGAAGAAGAACGAAATCTGATTATGCATTTTGGTTCTACAAGGTAGCCAACTCCATCAAAATATTAAATATGTACCCAACTCAATTAATGATTAATCAACCAATTACTCCATGGGATAACTGGGATCTATCAGTTGATTTTGTAAATGCGCCCAAGAAAGATAGTGTGCTCTCTACATTATTAAAACAGTTAACACTGAAAAGCATCACTGAAAGTACTCAGAGTATGGGTAACGATGTGTATCAGTGCTATACCGACGGCTCTGTAGAAGGTGGACGATGTACCGGATGTGCATGTAATATATTTGATCAATCTTCTCTCGTACATACAGTTAGCCAAAGAATCTGCCTTTAAAGGAGCCGTTGAGTGTAACCTTGGATTGTCAATGAGCAATCTGAGAGCAGCAGTACACCGAGAACTTCAACAAGATCTTGTAGATCTGAGGCAAAGTGAAATTGACACCAGTAATTCCATCTATCATCATACTATCATGCAAGAGGAGCCACACATCTATGGATCATCCAATAAAATCAGCAGACTTCTAGATGTTACTGCTGCTCGGCTTAGACTCGGTTACAAGTATCTCTGGGAATTCTCATTATCTGCTGATGTAGACCTGACCAAATGTAAACTGTGTCAACAAAATTATTCGCACACCCTCCGTCACTATGTGATGGAGTGCGAAAAGATACGTGAATTTAGAGACAATTCTATAACCAATGTTCCAGCGATGTGTCAATATTTCATTCAAAATGATCTGCTACCAGAAATTTTAGCCAAATATCCCCAGTTTGCTAACTGTAGGTAGTAACTAAGTGATTGTAACCTATCCACCGCTGCCCACTGGATGGGGGGCGGTGTGCAGGACAAACATATAAATTTTGACACTAGCTCTCCACATATGTCAGTTGCTTAATTTAGAACCTGTACTTGAGGTCGATCTCGAACCCTTTGTTGATGTGACGACTTATATTGAATTTTGTAACTAGCTCATCAAGATTGTAACTTGCTTAGCTAAATGAATTGTGGGGTTCAGTCCCTGAGCCCATTATGTGCCTCTGTAACCCTTTCCACTACCGCCCACAAGATGGGTATGGGGTGCATAATAAATGAACTAAACTAGCTCATACATACAGCAATGAAGCGCATCAATGACTGGGCAAGTACAACTCAAACCGAACTTGCAGGCATATACCTTGACACTGAATTTTTAAAAGACAAAGGCAGTGGACTTATATACTGTGACTCGCAGAGTGCACTCCTGGCATTGAATGCACATAGTAGTGACACCCAGAAAATAGTCACTGATATTCGAATGAATGTTTTAGCTGCTAAAGAAAACAGATTAGAAATTAAATTCCTATGGATACCATCACATGTTGGCATCTCATGGCATGACACTGTTGATATGCTTGCAAAGACTGACTGTAGAAAACCAGTGGTAGAAATTGATATGGGTGTTTCATTAGCTGTGACAAAGAGAATACTTAAATATCTAATGAAAATCTCACCGACCTAACAAATTTACAAAGACCTGAAAGTTATGTGATGTTATAGTGGCCAAATACACCTGGGATATAGACGTATCTGGCAGCTTTCTCAAAACCCAAATGTCGAGTACACAATGTGTCAACTTTGTGAAAAAGAGAACATGTACTCACTTGAACACTATTATAGAATGTCCCATATTGACTGACTTTCGCCCTCCTGGGCTGAGGTAGGCTGAATTCTGTAACTACT